GACTTTCTGTTACGAAACAGGATGTTGATTTCTTACATGTCCTCATATGAGGACACCGGGACTAAAAGCATGTTTATTACGCATTTTGGGAGACATAACAAATGAACAGGGAAAGAAATTATATTTCTATATTCTATGAAATGTTATATATTATTATGAAAATCTTGTCAAATATTACTCCCATTATTACACTTCTTTTTTCATTACATGTTGCCCCAAAAACACATTAATATGCAAATTAGATTTAGTTCATAGATACATTGTATATAATGAGAAAACCCGTTTATGGCCATTTTACACACATTTTGTAGAAAGAAAAATGGTATATTAAATCATTCTGTTGATTTAACATAGTTGAGAATCATCTTTATACAAAGTTTGGTAAAAAAATAAATCCTGAAAACTAAAAATGTATTGGTGATTTAAAAAATCTATTGTTTTTGCCTATGCATGTTCATTCATGTCTTTTTATTTAAAAAAAAAATAATTTAATCCCGATGTCCTCTACCAAGGACATAGCATAACTTATGAATGAAATATCATTTTTTACATTTTTTGTATGCTCTAAACAATGTAAAGACATGAAAAAAACTTTTTCCTAAAAATCTTTTCTTGGGTCTTAAGAGGGTGTGTTGTATGAATGTCATAATGTCAATTTACTGTAAGACTGTATGATCTATATTCTTGCTCGCTCTCACTGGGTAAAGGGTTTTTGTAGAGAGCTGATGTGTTTCCTGTCACTGTGGGCCTCAGAGCACAGTAGTACAGAGCAGAGTTTGATACAGCAGCAGAGGAGATCTCCAGATCCACATGCTTTTGTTCCCGTTTTGTGAGTTTAACTGAAAGTCTAGGATCTACATCAGACTTTTCGGTGTTTGATGCACCATCAAAGATGAGCACGAGAAATTCAGGAGCTGATCCGAGATACTGACGATACCAGTATAGATAATCTGCAGAGGAATAACTACAGGATAATATAACATTTGAACCCTCCTCAGCAAAATGCTCTGTTTCGTCTGGTGTGATGTTTCCAAAGACAGCAGCTGAAAAAGAAGAGGTACATGTTTAATGACATCTGTTTTAATTAATCTAATCTGTAACAATATCGATAATACATATATAAATATACATACATGCCAGACTACAGAAGAGAACAAGTGAAAAGACATCCATTGTGCAGTGCACTGTGTTCACTGGACGACTGAATCGTTTCTACTCCAGTCTGATTTGATTAGATTGTGTCAGATCTGTGTAGACCCTCCTCTCTATTTACATTTCACTCCTGGAGAACAAGAAAGATACAATCAGTTACAATCACTAATGTTTTCTCCTGATTTTCATGCACTATGGATGGGTGTAACATGTTGTACTACAACAGAAAACTGATTTATGATGATTAGGGTAATTTTTATTATGAGGAGGGTAATTAATTTTAGTTTTGCCACATGGTTTTGCTTTTCTTTGTTGGGTTTAGCAGTGAATCTGGGATCTACATCAGACTTAGCTTCTGTTGCACCATATGTGAGGGTTACAAGGAATTCAGGAGCTGATCTGGGATACTGACGGTACCAGAATAAAGACCGTGCAGATGAATAACTGCAGGATAATGTAATACTTGAACCCTCAACAGCAAACTCCTCAGTTTTAGTTGGTCTAATTTCATTTCCATACACAGTACCTGCAAAAGTAAATCAACGTTTATGAATGTGGATATTTTAGTGAATCAAGTGTGATCAGTGATTTATTCAGTGGTATGAATACTGTATGAATAATGCAACAAAATTAAATACATGTAAAGACAAATAGCAGAATAATAGAATGACGTACCATTGTCTGTGTTCACTAATGCAGCTTAAATGAGCTCTGCAACAGGCACTGAAGGCTTTTAACAAGATCACAATAAGTGTCAGTGCTTAGAGCTCCAACTCCTCCAACAGAAATATAACACATTTCAAAAGTCTTGAAAAGGGAAAATAATAGCATATTACAGTCTAACTTCAGTTGATTTCCCAAAACACTCGGACTCAGAGCATAGTAATACACACGAAGGTTTTGAAAAAAAATTTTTTAATCCTTTGTAATGAATACACTCTGAAAAGATAAAAGAACAAACTTTGTGATGGAGGTTGATGATTATTCATTATGAACAGTCGTGGAAAAACAGGGGTTTTTATATCCTTTTGCTGGAGTGCATGTGGGCTCCATGGCACAGTAGTACAAAGCAGAGTCTGTCACTTTAGCAGAGGAGATCTCCAGATCCACATGGTTTTGCTTTTCTTTGTTGGGTTTAGCAGTGAATCTGGGATCTACATCAGACTTAGCTTCTGTTGCACCATATGTGAGGGTTACAAGGAATTCAGGAGCTGATCCGGGATACTGACGGTACCAGAATAAAGACCGTGCAGATGAATAACTGCAGGATAATGTAATACTTGAACCCTCAACAGCAAACTCCTTAGTTTTAGTTGGTCTAATTTCATTTCCATACACAGTACCTGCAAAAGTAAATCAATGTTTATGAATGTGGATATTTTAGTGAATCAAGTGTGATCAGTGATTTATTCAGTGGTATGAATACTGTATGAATAATGCAACAAAATTAAATACATGTAAAGACAAATAGCAGAATAATAGAATGACGTACCATTGTCTGTGTTCACTAATGCAGCTTAAATGAGCTCTGCAACAGGCACTGAAGGCTTTTAACAAGATCACAATAAGCGTCAGTGCTTAGAGCTCCAACTCCTCCAACAGAAATATAACACATTTCAAAAGTCTTGAAAAGGGAAAATAATAGCATATTACAGTCTAACTTCAGTTGATTTCCCAAAACACTCGGACTCAGAGCATAGTAATACACATAAAGGTTTTGAAAAAAATTTTTTTAATCCTTTGTAATGAATACACTCTGAAAAGATAAAAGAACAAACTTTGTGATGGAGGTTGATGATTATTCATTATGAACAGTCGTGGAAAAACAGGGGTTTTTATATCCTTTTGCTGGAGTGCTATCATTACTGAGCTGCTCATTTTGGTTTGAGAAAAGTTTCATGATGGAGAAATTTAAGGTCCACTCAAATGTGGCATGTAACCAAACCTTTGCAGCTTAAAGTTTTGATGCATTCTGGTTATTGAAAATATAAAAACATTTGTGTTATGCTGTAGGTGTTATTACTGTGCTGTGAAATATCTAAAGTTATAACAAAAGTAGAACAAAATAGTAAATGGCAGAAAAATATGAAAATATGCTGAAAATATGAGGATATGAAATTATTTGCTGTAATTATTATAAATCATGTTATGTAGGCATTTAATGTAGTGTTATTTAATGTTATAAATATGTGTAAACAAATACTGAAATTAATTTCACATTTGTTAAGTATAGGGACAGATTTCAAGAAATGAGAGAGACATTATTTATTGTTCAGCAGGTATTTGTAGAGTGTACATGAGTTTCCTGTCCATGTGGACATCAGTGCATGGTAGTACATGGCACAGTCTGTTACTTCAGCATCAGAGATCTCCAGGCTCACAAGATTTTTGTCCACTTTTGGTATAATACGAGGAGGAAGTGGGTTGCTTGTGGGTAAATCCAAGCCAGGAACTCTGGGTAGGATCTAGAATATTGGCGATACCATTGCAGGTTAGTTAAAGCTCCCTCATATTTGCAGGACAAAATTATGATTTGTCCGACAGATGCAAGTGCCTTGTTTTCCTGTGGTGTTATTGACTGTGCCAATGTGTCACCTGGAAAACATAAAATATAATATATTTCATCAAACTGAATTTGTATCATTAACATTATAGCATTTAAACAAAATCAGTCTAAAAATATGTAAACTGCATTATGTCTAAAAGTTATAAGTCAACTTCACTTACTTTTATCAACAATTGCAGAAGAAGAGCACAAGGAATCATCATGTTTGCACTGTGAGAAGTTTAAATGATCACTTTGCTTTTACTCAAACCTCCACAGGCTCCTCCTTATTACTGCACAGAATAAGAACACAGCATTGAAATTAATTGTACTTCTAGGTGATCAATATTTGAGTTCAAATATAAAATGAATCTAGTAAATCTGATTTAATTTATTTACAGCCATGTAGTGTTTTGATTTTTTTTTCTTAATAAATAAGTCGGTAATAATATGCCTAATGTAACACTCATTTACATATTCTCTGACTGTCAATGGCAATTTATAGAGCTGAAGCATGAATGCTGAGTGTATATCGCCCTCTTCTGGTCCCCTATAGGGTTATGTAATAAACGTGCATTGTTCAACAAAGCATTGAAATAAGAGTTGTATTTCTGCTCACATCATATTAAATTTATTTCTAGTAATAACCGAGTGCACTCAACATATGGTTTAACAGAATATTGGTCACTGTGTGTTGACCTGTTTAAATATAATTTACATTAGGTTTAATGCCACATTTAAAAGATGGGGTAAACTGATTTATGATATGAAGTGAAATGGTTGAAATTGTAGATGTTTATGTAATCTAAATTTAATTTAGGGCTCATTTATTTGCAGGGTTTTTGTATGAGTGTTGAGTGTGTTTCAGTCACTGTGGGCTTCAGAGCACAGTAGTACACAGCAGAGTCAGACACACACACATCCTGGATTGTCAGTGGAACTGTTGTTCTAGAGGTGTTGAGATTGGCATCAAATCTCCCTTCAAATTGTTTGTCAACCTCACCAGATCCAGGAAATTTCTTCAGCATATATCTAGGGTATCCATTTATTTCTTGTTGGTACCAGAACAGATATGGAAATGAATCAGTGGTTGAATATGTGCAGTTGATTGTTACAGTTTCACCCTCAACAGCAGTTTGAACTCTTGTTTTTTGTTCAATACTGTCCAGAGAATCACATCCTAAAATAGAATAAAAAAGTAAGTCTATTTTCTAATGAAATGAAAACACAATCTCACAAACTGCACGGGGAGTTGCATTACTACAATTAAAATGAATCTAAAAACTACATAGTGTACTTAATGGTGCCACTTACCCCACAAATATGTGAATAGAATGATAACCACACTTTTCCATTGTGTCATTATCTCTGTTGTGCTTTCCAACTGAAATCACCAAAGTCATAAAAATACACTGAGAAGTTCTGATCCTCTTCTTGCTTTTGCTTCTCTGTGATGCAATAGACCTCAAACACTTTTTAGGAGGAGCTTCTTCTATAGATTAAAGATCATCATCATTCAATTTATAATAAGATGATTTACGTCTGCGTGTCGTAACCATATACATTTCTAAACATCTAAAGTGCTTTCTAGTTTCTGTGTTTGTTATTTTTGTGGTTTCTTGACTTAAAGCAAGGTGCACATGGTTCCCACTTTCATATTAACATCTGCATCTTTACAGGTAAGGGTTACAATACTGTTTTGGATCTGGAGGAAATAGATAGTAAATTAGTAAATAAGCACTGTATAGATTACTGGATATCAACATTTACAGTACATGATTGTTTGCGCAGTTCTGTTTCCAAATACCTTTTTTTAAATATAACTTTAACTGCCTGTTGCTTTCTCATATCTATATTATCAATTCTATGCATTTATAGATGCATTTCTTTGTAGTAATGCTTTGATGCTTTTATTTCTACATGTCTGAACTGCTCTGTTATATTCTCTGAAAGATATTCTGGAACATTTACATAGTTTCTGAGTTTTATTGTTCAGGAGGTTTTTGTACAGTGTAGTTGAATTTCCTGTCATTGTGGTCGACAGTGCACAGTAGTACAGCGCAGAATCTGTTACTTCAGCATCAGAGATCTCCAGGATCACAAGATTGTTGTTTTTATCAACTTTAGGTATGATACGATCAGGAAGAGGGTTACTTGTGTCTCCATGTGGATAAATATAAGCGAGGAACTCCGGTTTGGATCCCAAATGCTGACGATACCAGTGCAGGTTATTAACAGCTCCATCATATTTACAGGACAGAGTGACTTTTTCTCCCTCAGATTTAAGTGCCTTGTTTTCCAGCGGTGTTATTGACTGTGCAAATGTCTCCTCTGCAAAACAACCATTAAACTTTTTTTTAAATCAAAATTACCCAAATAATTAATATTATATTACAGAATTTCATAATATATCACAGCATATATAATGCATAATATATTACAGCATTTCAATAAAAGCCATGTCCAACATCATAAA